GGAGGGGGCTCGCGCTTTGCGACGCAAAAGTATGGTCTTCAGGGATACTCGTCGCCGCCCACACCCTCGTCGTCTGACTCTGGCCGCTCTGGCAGAGTGTTAGCGTTGATGAGGTCAGCACCGATGAGACATGCCTTACATGCGAATCAAGGGGCAGAAAGGGGCCTCATCTGTCGGGCTCTGGGCCGATTTTCTTAGAGTTTTTCATCCCTGCCACACTGACCACTCCTTCTTCCCTTTCTAATGGGCTGTACTTTCATCGTGAGCATCGCCTTTGATGCCATAGGTGAAGTATCGGGCAAATCAGGGATTTCGATCTTACAAAAAATCGACACCATTAGGTAGAGGACTCCACCCGGCGCACTGAGCGAACTGAGTTGACAACAGTGGCTCGCCATAACTAGCCATTCATTCACTATGACTAACATTGGACTGAGGATCTCCTACGTGGGTAATCAATGCTTGAAATGGAGGTAAACCTCCTAACACTAAAATTGTTCTCTCATCTATCACCAGCAGGTGAATTGCCTGCATGTGTTCATTCCACGGGAGGACCCCTTTTTCGGGAAGAATAACGTGAAGCTTTTCTCCGAGTTGCCCTTTGGCGTGCATGGTTAGATACACTTCATCTTTTTACTCGGACAATCCAGCTGGGGCAGGAGAGTCCTACTTGTTTCCAGAGACGTACAGCTGCATTTTACGGCTGACAGTGGTGGGCCGTTGTTTCATATTCTCAAGCGAGAAAGGGAAGGGGAGGAAGGGGTCGTATGTGTGGAAAATGAATGAAGTCTCGTTCAGCTGAGGAACTGGACAGACGTCACCCACTCACGTTGACACATGAAGCTCAAAGTGACCTCCAGATGCGTCGTGAGACGTCGGGTCAATTTTTTTGGTTCTTTTTTGTTACAATATTCTCGAAAAAGTTATGAAATGTTCGAAATTGAAGATTTTGCACTTGCGATAGTTACATGTTCCACCTCCTGCTCGATAGCTGTTCTGAAAGCTTACCATAGCAAGGGAGAGACGGCGGTCAAGAGGGCGATACAAAGTGCATTTACTGACACAGTCCAGGCAGTATAACGTCAGACGACGGCCGAATTCTGGAGACCTGAGCGCAGTAATAGGAGGCCTGATCTGAGATAGGGAACATCTAAGGAATTTTTGCCACAAAACTTCCATCAACCCTATGCGACGAAATTTGCTCAGGTAGCACATGCGAAAAATGCGGTGAAGTGTTGAAGGTCGTGAAAATTTTGAGTCAACCGGATGCTACGGTTGACTCTTGTTTAATACTAGATCTCACAAAATTTTCCCTTCTGAGTTTACAATGTAGGACAAATTCTTCACTTGCTTCGTCCTTTCCATTTATGTATTGCTTTTTACAGCCGAAATGACCTTCAAGACAGAAGCTCAGAAGAGCGATGAAAATCGCGCGAATGAAGATACAATTTTAGTCTCCTGAATTGAGCGATTCGAAAGAATAAGCATTGAAAGGCCCACTCAAAAATCAGTCACAGATGTACAGTAGCGGTCAAAAGTGTTCGCCGAAACGATTTTCAGTGCATTATTTTTTCTCGCTTGAGCAACGCCCTCCAAAGATTGATATACTATGTTTTCTAGTGTTTTATATCCTCAAGTCTTAAAGAATCAGGATATTCAAAAGAAAAATTTTCGAGGTCACCATTGATTTTTCTGGCAAAAAAAAGAGAAGCACGAAAAACCGTTTCGGCGAACACTTTGACCGCTACTGTACCTCTTGAGGAGATCGGTAAAATTGGAATTTGGGAATGGAAATGGGGAGGCCATTTCAATTCCGTACCCTTGTCTTCGCTCTCTAATGGAGTGTTCACAGTTGGCGATCGTACGTGCGATTAGGCGATTAGGCGATTAGTCTATAATGAAAAATATACGTATAGATTAGGCGATTAGGCGAGGCGAGTAGGCGAGTAGGCGAGTAGGCGATTAGGCGATCGCTCAATGGGCGGAGCAACAAATCAATACGTATCCTTCTCTTATCGCCTACTCGCCTACTCGCCTACTCGCCTGATCGCGTAACCGCATGTACGATTGCCAACTATGAACACCCTATAAGACCGGGACATTATCCACTAGATAAATTCCTTCATACCATCATTTTACAAGTGGTCGGTGGCTCTATCTTCACCAAACCCTTGACGAGAAGGTCCATACTGAGAAAGTAAAGAATCATAGGTCAAACCATTCAAGGCTAATACTGTCGGCGTCTCGACCGTCTATTTGATGTTAAAGAAGAAGAATGCAGAGAGGTGCCGCTGCCCACTCCATTTCCTCAAAGAGATGCTATTTCAGGAAAAATGCTGATAAAGCAAAGCCAAATTTCTCCCTGTCGAAACCTCAAGGACGAGAGACGCATCCTTAGCGTCCCAGGACATTGGCGCCGCTTCTATGCATTTTCAAAGCCGAGCACAAGTAAATTCTCTCTCTATTTACGGACAAAAGATCTATCCTTCACCGCAAAGGAACACATTGAGGATTTCCTGTCGATGCCTGGCAACCGCTAACGCTCAATTATCATAGATAACAAATCTATAATTAAAAGCATTATAGCAACGCTTCTCTAATAATAGCTTCAGTTGACGTGGCACTATTAATATCGCTGCCCCAATAACAAGAAAATCTATGCGAAAAGGAGCGCTCTATCCTCACCGAGCCTGTGAGAGAAGAAGATATGTGGTGGAGCCTTCAGACTTCCATTATTGGGTGTGGCACCTGCTGCTCGTGGTGCAACGTTCTACGCGTCTAGTTGTCTGCGTCTCGCTCGGCCCCTGTCCTCTCTCGTCTCCAAATCTATTCTCTCGATTCAGCTGCAGGCATCTACGTTTCCTAAGAAATGCTGAAGAATCGCGTTATGTGGAGGAGGTATAGTGCCCTCTTATCCCCCTGCATATTGTCCATGATACTAAATCCTTATACGGTTCCCAGTGCGCCCATTACTTTCCAGTTTAGAGAAGCAAACAAAGGATATAACAATCACTGCCAATCTTTCAACTAGGGAAATAGGTCTTCAAACTTGAACGAACTTCAGATTCAGGGAATTTCAAGGATTTTTGTGGTGTTTATGGAATTTTCACAGCTGACCACTACAGACGCATAGGTCACTCTCGCCGTCTCCTCTAACGGAAGTTCTTTCCAACCGACTCTCAGATAATTTATTATGGTTTTGCCGACTTCATTTCTTTTCTACCCATAACAATCTTGTCACGGTAAGGAAGGTAGGGACGCAGAGGGACTCTCGCCGTCTGTCACAAAGTAGTTATTTTCTAATCATTTATCTCAATAACTTGTGAACACGAAAAAGACACTATAAAGAAGAGGAAAAAACATTGTACATACAAATGAAGAAACGCTTCACTGATGATAAAGAAAGAATAACGGGACGATTTCGTGGGGCTTGGATGCATGGGGATACATATAATATATATTTCTGCATATTTATAACAAAAAGAAGAAAAGAACGCTTAATTCTTTTCTTCAAATCATCTGTGACTCCAGCACAAATGACTGAGAAAACCAAAAAGAACATATTTCATAACAAAACAGGTGAGAGAGCGACACAGCGAAGAAACAAAATGGATGGGATGAGGAGAGCCAGAAAAGCCCGGTCAAAAAACGGGAAGATTCCCGATGTCGGGGTTTCTGGATCGAGGCCTGGGACGGGGTTTGGGTAATGAGAAGGCCGGGACACATAAAAGAGAGGAGGGCTGTCGCTACCGTATCCGAATCGAGGTCTATGAGTGGGTTTTTTGGGTGGGATCGCTCACGCGCTAACGCTGCAGCTAAACCTTATCAGATCACTACGTACTGCACCGTCATCATGAACGTTGAAACATCACACACGCAGACATTTTCTCTTAACCATTTATTAAGTGCACACCACAACGGTGTCAGTACTACAAATAGTTTGCGCCAATCTCCTATGGAGACGAGCGCATTTTGAGTGCTCATATATAATATGTATAGATCATATCACTAAAGGTGGTGATGGTGCAAATACAGTGACGATGTTGGTATGTACAAGGAAATGCATCTACCTGGTGGCGATAGGATCCTCATCCTTGATGAGGGGCGACAGGACAAGTCCGAGCAGGCGGAGCGAGCGAGCGAGCGAGAGACTATGGACGCTACATGGGTGAAACGAGGTCTGGGAGCGGGATGGAGGGGCTTGGATTGTACCCGGTTGCTGGCGATCAGCAAGATATCATCACAATAGCAACAACTGCGAGGTAGCCCATTATTATCCGAAATAAACATCATCATTATCATCATACAATACAAAAACAATGAAAATTAATGAGAAAAAAGAGAATAAAAATCGAATAGAAATCTTCAACGACTCGTTTGCAAAGAAGGGACGAGGTGATGTCGGACGACAGCAGATTGATGATGATTGGTGTACGGTAATGGTAACGCTTAGGGTGGGACATGCTGGGGACACGGGGGCGGCCGGGGTCGAAAAAATACACACAAAAACACAGTAAACGACATGAAGAGGACAAAAAAGCATGTGATGAACATGATGCACACAAGAACAATGAACCGATAATTTCTCAATACACACAGCGCGAATGGTGACGGTGAAATGGTGCAATTGGTGTAGGATGATTGGTGTGATGGTGCTGGTGATGATTGTGGTGGTGATAAGGATTAGAATGATAGACTCAACAAGGCAATAATGGAAGAATTGGGGTTAGGTTGCACTGAACTTGCCACGCACATACACAGGTACGCGAGTGCGCGACAAAGCGCGAGTGCGCGACTAAAGTATGAACGTTTGACAGAAAAAAATCAACCAGAGTAAACGAAAACAACAGGAAGAATACTCTATGTGACGGTCAACTAGCACAAATGAGAGCGTGATTAAAGTTGACTAAACACATATGTGGATACGCGGTATGTGGGGCGTGTGTGTAAGAGTGGGGATGGACGGATGGGTGAAGGACGCATAAATGGGTGCACGGCACTCAGAGATTGTCGAAATTGAGGCGATGATCAGAGGTTTGTGACAGCTCGTGTCGTAACAGCGATTCGACTTCAAAATCCATAAGTGGTTGATCGGGCAGTGTGAGGCTTTCGAGGTCCGACGGCAACGCCGCCGCCGCAGCTACCGAGTTCGCCTGCGCCACCGCGGCACACGACGAAGGCGGCAAAAGATGGCCGCCGTGGTGAGCACCGGGCCATGGCGAGTACGTCTGGTAGGACAACGGAAGGCTGAAAGAAATAACAGCATTGGATGAAAAAAAACAAATAGAAGTTTTTTTAACCCAAGAGTAAGTTAGGTATTGTTCAGAGTTCACGATGCAGGCGACTGGCAATTGAGCGAGCAGGCGATCAGGCAGTCGCTCAGTGAGCGGAAGCGAATCAGATTCAGGCATGCGGTCTTACCAGCCTATTTAATAATCTATACGCACCCTTTCTTTCTAAGCTAATCGCCCAATCGCCCAATCGCCTGATCATAAGAGCGATCTCGAACTATGAACATTGCCCAAAGTAATGTTCATACTAGGCGAACTTGCAGCCAGCCGATCATATGAACATGAGCACGGTAGATTTATCCTACTCGATTATGGATATACGTAATAGCAGTATTTTTCGCATCCAACTCTGTAGCCAGTTACCTTATTAAGGTAAGTGACCCGTACCCTGCACTCACGTACAATTCATTCCATGTGTTCAGACGGTTGTGCAGTTCATAGATCGCTGGTGCGTGCGATCGCGAAGCGGCTAGTGTAGCGTCATGCCACGATGATGCGACAGATCTATGATAGAGTTCTTTTTCCATTTGCTCCTTTTTCAAAACATGTATTCACAGTTTTTGGGGTGACTTAAAAGCAGAGTACCCGCACCGCGACCGCACGCATAACGACCTGTAATCGCACAATCACAAGGCATGGAAGCAGATATTCGCCTGTAAAAACTGTGTGCATACAGCTACTGCAAAGATTACACTAGGGGTTACCAGAAAAAAAGACAATCACCTCAATCCAATGGTACAGCGCAGGTAGTGTAAACCGCGGATCGTCGACGCGAGCCGTTGCGGCGCGGTCCGATACAAGAATGCAACCCACGTACTTCAATGGGGACAAAGGCCATGCTTCAGTTTCTCACCATATTTTTTTTCATGATTACCAGGTACGGTCTAGCAGCCACGCGACCGCACGCGTCACTGATCCATAAACTGCACAACCAAGGAAATGAAAATTTGAATACAGGCAAAAGGATGGTTAGCGCTTACCCAGATGATTGGAATTTCACCGACGCCAGTTGCGATCGCAACAGTGGATTCTGTAGTTGAGACTGATTACGAACACTGCTCAATTCGAGGTATGACGGCGGTTGAACACCAGGCGATTCAGTCTGAATAATGATTATTGATTGATTGCACAGCGGACAACTCGACCGTACTTTGGTCAAATCTTTGCCTCACTGTGCTCTTTACGTGTTGGTATTTGTTCTCCAAGTTCAGCCCTCCCACACCCGCTCCGAAAGGTCATTTGCCTCATTCACTCTCAGTTCCCCTTCACAGACAAAGAACGACGGTAATTAGTTCCGAATTAATTGCTACCCTCACTGAATGAAAGGCAATGCACGTGTTCTCAATCAAGAACAACAACATACTTACAGAACGAGAGAGCACAGCCGACCAAGAGAGCACAAAGATATTGGTGATACAAAGGAAATGTAACAGATCTTACCTTGATTTGCTTGGGCTCTTGCTTGACACCGTTCATCATTGCTCGACATGAGTCGATTCGCATCTGGAAAATCGATCGATATTATATCATAAAAAATCTCAAAATTTACATTTGTTGAATGGTTCAAGTTTTTATGCTCGCACAGTCGACTAAACACAAATCGATAATCGATCGGCGATCCACAAGACTGATCGCCAAAAGGTCGGACAATCAATAACCGATTTGTCCACACATTCAGAATTCATAAGTGTACGAATTTTGGTTCTATTAGATTAGCAAACTTCTAAAATTGGAGGCCCATACATATAACAATTGAGCGTACGGTCTTCAAAGCAGCGGTTAAAGCATGGGAGTTCTGTTTTGGAAAAGCGGGTCAACAGGAAGAAAAAAGAAATTTTTATGTAATGGGGACACTACTTTTGAGTTGTTGAAGAATTCTACCAACAGCTCAACCTTTTGAGAAACACTTCGTCTACCGTACCTGGTCTGTTCGGTCCAGAATATCCGTAGGGATTGGAGCGGCATGATTGGAGGCGTTCGCAGCAGCGGCAGCGGCTGCCGCAGCGGTCGACGCCGCGGCAGCGTCGTTTACCCAGCTGGGAAAGTCGAAGTCGTCAAACGGATGCTCCATGGAGGGCGAGACACGCGTAGACGAGCCGGGCACCGAGAGATTCGATTGGGTCCTGGGACTGAAGACATTCA